AAAGAGGCAATGGTACTGTTTTAAATGCTTACGCTAGAATGTTTAAATCTCGGTATATGCTTCAATGTGCTTACCCCTTTCCTCTATGACTTTTTAAATACATTGTTGTAAAGTAAACATCAAATTGCTGTCGGCATTAAATTCTTATTTAAGCCAGCACATTCCAATAAGAAACGCTCATTTGTTTTCAAGCTTTTACTGTAGCAATTTGATCCACATATTTCCTTTGGTCACCTCTGTATTTTAATTCATAAAATAAATTGTTTTTAAAATATAGATTTCTGAATCGAAAATATAATTTGCCTAATAATTGATGAATCATCACTATGGAATAATAAAAAAAAGGGACCAAGGTAATGTAAACAAGCTTGCTACTTTCTTTTCTTATCCATTTTAATATTTCGTCGTTAATTTGACAAAGGGACGTATATGAGAAATAAGCGATTTTTCGTTTTCAGGGAATTTATGTCGCAAAACATCAAAATTATGCGCCCTCTAATTGGCGCATATGAACTGCCAGTAGTTTCTAAGTTATACACATTTTTCTTTTAGACGTATGTTTTGAAACAAGAAATATGTATCTTCCTAAAAGGCGTATATCATATACGCCTGTAATATTTTTTTTTAGAGATGACCTTGAAGCTGGCGTTGGCGTATATAGTAATACATACGCCTTTTTGCGGACGCGCACCAAACCTGTTTTAAACTAAAATTTAGCTCATATCGGAAGACATTAGTCAGTCAATTTACTGCACTTGTTCGTGTTTTGGTTTGTGTTTTTATTGCTTTTCAAACAAACAAAGATGGATGTTCTAATTAAATGGACAGGCAGCACACAAAATATTGTGGATTCGCGACAGATAGTGGTTTTGGGCAAAAATAAAACTCTAAAAGAAGGCAGTTATGTGAAAATGTGGTAGGTATGAAAAAAAAAAATGGTATTGTGGATCTGTCATAGCTGTAGAGAAAAATGAGGACTGTGATGATACGTCAGCTACATTACCATATAGTGATTATTCTAGTGATGAGGAATCGAATTTGCCAATCAAACTATAAGAAAAAAATGATTTAAACAAGCCAGTAGTCGGCAATGAGGCTAAATCATAATTAGGTATAGTAGTAGAGAGTAGAGAAGCCCTAACGATAGGTATGCCTTAAACTGACATTTGTCCATGAAAAAATGTCATTTTAGGGAATACTTATCGTTATGTTTCCCCTAAAATAGTTGGTGGAAACGGCCATGAGTCAACCGTTTATTATTTATATTAAGTTTGATTCGTAAAGTTTATTCTTAGCAGCAAAACATAATACAATCAAAATTTTATTAATTTTAATATTATGCAATAAAAATGTATTCTAATTATTTATAGTCCAGGAGGCAGTGAAACTTTTTAGCACTTATTTCCCCAGTTGGTATCTATGAAATAGTTTGTTCTCCCGGTGATACAAAGCAAGAATTTTTGAGTCTGGCTAAAATTTTCGGATGGGTTCACAAGATCAATGAAAAATACAACTACGCTTATTTTCCCAGACATAAATATTTCACATTTACTACAATGGAACATAAAGTATATGAAAATAATAATTTGGCTTATCTCAGATAGTGAAAGTGAGTCTGGCTGAAAATTTTCGGATCTTCAATTTTTCACTTGCCAGACATATTATTCATACTCACAGATTAGCCGGAAAATTTTTTTACGTAACTTCAGTATACTTCTCATTAGTAGACCTATTTTTATCACTGAGAAAAAAAGGGCCGTGCATTCGTAAGCTTCATTGCATTTTGCGCCTCAACCCATCGGAAAACCCCCCCTTAAAATATATGTATTTTGCTTAGAATTACTTACCCTACAACTCTATCCAAGTTGTCTGACTGGGAAAATAAGTACCGAAAATCGTCACTGCCTCCTAGACTATTAGGCAGATGTGTTTTTTAAAAATTCCAACCACTCTACCTTGTTGCCAATAAACTACAAACCATTAAGAGAGTATAAAAAAAAATAGTTGGGTGGGCCAAATTGGACACTTTCTTATGGAAACACCCTTTATTTTTAGAGATAGAAAAAAATGGACCCCCCACTCTGAGGCTCAAATTTCATGAAATCTTGATTGGTACAAACCGCATTTTGATATCTTCAACCGTTTAGCCGCTAGAGGGCGATTCTCGATTTTGAGCAATACTGTAAAGCCTCCATAGCTTTATTGTTTATGAAAATAATTCATTTTCGTAAAGACCTTTTGGAAGCACTTTTTCAAGCAGAATTCAGTGACATTCTCAGTTTTTTTCTGTCTGGCTTCGATTTCGAGATATTGACCAAAATCCGATTGTTTTCAATAGGACACTCTATATATTAATAGTTCATTAGAAAGCTATGCTTTCGCTGATTTTAATGATACAAGATTTGATAGGTTTATCTTTAACAGTTTTCGAGAAAAAAAATTATTTCGGTTTTTGTCATAAGAAACAATGTGTAAGAAAGAGACCTTTCTCAGTTTCCTTACAGAGATAAAGTCCTTTTCCAACACATTGTTTCTTCTGACAAAAACCGAAATAATTTTTTTTCTCGAAAACCGTTAGAGATAAACCTATCAAACCTTGTATCATTAAAATCAGCGAAAGCATAGCTTTCTAATAATAAATATTAATATATAGAGTGTTCTATTGAAAAAAATCGGGTTTTGGTCAATATCTCGAAATCGAAGCCAGACAGAAAAAAACTGAGGATGTCACTGAATTCTGCTTGAAAAAGTGCTTCCAAAAGGTCTTTACGGAAATTAATTATTTTCATAAACAAGAAAGTTATGGAGGCTTTACAGTATTGCTCAAAATCGAGAATCGCCCTCTAGCGGCTAAACGGTTGAAGATATCAAAATGCGGTTTGCACCAATCAAGATTTCATGAAATTTGAGCCTCAGAGTGGGGGGTCCATTTTATTCTATCTCTAAAAATAAAGGGTGTTTCCATAAGAAAGTGTCCAATTTGGCCCACCCTGTACAAAGGGCAGTCTATGACTTATTTTGGGAGGCGTATGTGAAACGTGCAAAAATAAAATTTTGCAAAGTGGCGTAGATGTATTTTTTTCAAAATTTTCAGACTAAAAATGAAAGTATTCTACTTTTATGAACAGTATTCCAAATACCACTTAATAGCCTGTAAGTACACCAAAAGACATTTTAATATCTATTTTGGTTTTTGACTCATAAGCTTTCAAATTTATTGAAAAAATCAAATGCTTGTCCTGAAAAATTAATAAATTCAATATACGCCCATTAGTGAAATTAACGACGATTTGGCAGTAGACTAGCTATTTACCATGGAGGAATAAGCTATTAATAGTTATTTATACACCAAGTGAGAAGAAAGTTTAACCCACGAGCCCTAGCGAGTGGCTTAATTTTCTTCGAATGAATAAACATTTTAACTCACGCGATGTATACAAAATTTTATCCCATTTTGTGGAAATTTAAAAGATAAAGTACAAGGAAAAATGCCGGGAGTGAGTTAAAAATATTTTAAATCACTTAGGTTTCAAATTTTTAGTTGGGCAGAGTGACTTAAAATGCCGAGAGTGAGTTAAAATGTTTTTAAATCACTGAGGTGATAAACGTCTACTTACCTTTATTGTTATGCGTTCAATAATGTCATTTTTAAACGTCAAAATGGGTTAAAAAAAATAATAATAATATAAGCATTTCGAGTTTAGTGAGCATTCTTGACTGAATATTCTAATTGATTAGTGTATAGATTATTGAATAATCGTAAGTACCAACAACTATTTAAGTAGGTATAGCCTTCTGATCCTGCCTTTCAGCCACGCCACAGGTCCTAGAAAAGTCCCTTTATGCATTTAAACAGTTTCCCAAGAAATTTACCTTCTATTTTTTTTTTTTAGGGGTGATAACTAATAAGCATGCAGAAATCAGGACTTTGGTAAGCTACATATAGTTGGGTAAGTTTGGCATTATACTTTGAGCATTTGGCTGTAAATGTTTTCAATAACTTCATCTTTAACATTTTTTAGCAATTGAAGTTGCGTTTCACTGACATCCAGGACAACAATTCGTGGTTTCATTATTTCTTTTTGGTAATTGGTGTCCCCTGGGGAAGCTGTCCACCATAATAGGTTAGGATCCCATTTGTTGCACGATTATACTATTTAAGGTAAGTGTAGCAGTGGGGCACTACCGAATACCGGCGAGAAATGGTTGAATTATGATTTGCTGTTGGTGGATGTCAGCTGCACAATGTGATTTCAAGTGGATTATGCCTATTGATTCGGTCATATAAGAATAGCCAAATGCTAAAGAACTTTGCCAGGCAAACCTCAGGGTTTAGATTTCTGAAAATTTTGAAAGATCATATTTTTTTTTCTATTATAGATATGGAAAGTTGAAATTTTCAGAGATTCTTATCCTAATAGAGGCGACATTTTTTTTTTGCACAACAATAAAGCGACAAATTATTCACTGCACCCTTGAAGCTACAAATTTTATATGAAACACTTTCTTCTGGATCCTTTGGAAATTTCTGAAAAAAAAATTATTCCAGATGTTCAATTTGAAAAATTGTCTCATTTAAGTATTTCCAATTTTTTCCCTAAATTCAAGAATTCCCTAAAACCAAAAATAGTGTCTTAAAGTGCACCCTTAAAGCTACAAATTTTATATAAAACACTTTTTTCTGGAATCTCTGGAAATTTCTGAGAAAAAATTATTCCGGATGTTCTTGAAAAATTGTCTCATTTAAGTATTTCCAATTTTTTCCCTAAATTCAAGAATTCCCTAAAACCAAAAATAGTATCTTAAAGTACACACTTTGAACTACAAATTTTGTATGAAACACTTTCTTCTAGAACTTCTGGAAATACCAGAAAAAAAAATTCAAAAGTAATGCATTGACCACTCTTGACCCAATGAGCTACTAACCCCAGAACCACGCACCATTTCAGTGCCACGCATCCAGGTACCCATCTTTAGAATCAAGGTACCACTTTACTTACCGCAAATCCCTAGGGGCAGTCACAGCGGCCACATAGAACCACTTCCAGTGCCCGACGGCCAAATAAGCCACCAGTGCCACAATGGCCAACTGGACCAAAAACTGCCATCCGAAAAAGTACCACAAAACGGCACCGAAACCGCCTATTATCGCGAGTACCGTCACCATGACGAACAAACGACGGAACCAAACGCGAACTGACCGCGATTCGTTCGAGGTACTTTTACCTTTGGTGGTGGTACCGGTTTCGACGTCTGTCGACGCTCGAGGAATCTGAAAAACGTAAAGTTTTTAAATATGTAGTAATTCATAACAGAAGCAGCTGATTGTGTAGTTTATTTATCGATTATATTTTGAATTTGAATTCGCGTGTAGCGTTTTCTTTTTGTAGGTTAGGTGCAACATCTGCTGGAGTATGTTTGTCTTTGTTTTTTTTACATGTAAAGGAAAAAGAAGAACAATCATGTTTTTATTGTGGGGCTTTATTTTAAATATAGGAAAAATGGCGGTAATTTTTGCGCAAATTATTATAATAAACAATTTTATTAATCTTTTTTTTACAATCGTGCGTGAAAAGCCACTTTTCTGCACGCATTTTAGTTCACTAGTGAGGAAAAGTAAAAATATCTTATATTGTAAATATAAATGTACAAATACCTAGTAACTTTCATCATGTGGAAAAAATAGTAATAGTGTTTCTTAACTCACTTGATTAAGTGCGGAAAAATGGCACTTTCCACACTAGTTAGAGAAGAGAAAGTTAAAAATTAAAGCTAAAAGTAGTTAAAAATCTAAAAAGGGAAAGAAAACTAATAATTTACTTTTGTCTCATCATGGCGGCCAAAGGTTTAGTTATATAGAAAATAGATGGCGCCAGGTGTGTCCTTGATAAATCCTATATGAAAATCAAAATAGATGTAAGTACGTAAATTGGATCATAGATGGCGCAAGTAAAGCAAATTTGAATTTAATTTTATTTGAGCGGCAGATTTTCTTTTTAAATTCTGTATGTGAACTACTTTTATTATTTAATTTATTTCATTAAGGGCCAAATTATGGACTGACTGGTATATGTCTGATTGTTACCTAGCAGGTACTTTCTATGTTGTAGATAATAGAAAGTACCTGCTAGGTAACAACCAGACACTTACCAGTTTGGCCCTAAAGATTATAAATAAATACATTCAACTTATTATTATTATGAAATATTGTTGTATTGCAACAATAAAAATACATTTCAGATTTTAATAAGGCTTTCTGTATGGGTGCACAAGGATGCCAAAAGCGTAATGGGTACTTGTACAATGTAATAAAAGAAAATAGCTTGCCGCACTTTGAAACAATGTAACGATAATCGCGATAATATAATTTCAACAATAAGTTTCTCCTTTTGTATTATTTTAAACATAAAATCGACTAAAAAGCAATTAAACTTGAGATTTAAAAGAAAAAAATGAGCCAAAAACATTAGACTTTGTATATATTTTAATAGATAATGACTAATTATTGTCCCTACTAATATTTGAAAATATTAAAGTGCTGCTATTATTCCAAAAGACATATCTAATTATTGTATAAGTATAGTAGAAATTTGCACACATTTTCAAGGTTTTCCAATAATTAGATATAATTTATTAAATAAATATTGAGTATATAGGTACTATATCTATTGGTGTCTTATACACCCATAATTAAATATTGACTCAATTTAAAAATAATCTCATTACTGCACGCACTCAAGATAATTATTATCGCACAAAAGTGTGCAGTAAAAGTGACTTTACCGCACAATAATTGCAATAGTTTCCCAAAAAAAAACACTTACAAATTAAAAATAGTTTTAACTAATGAACCACACAATCGATCAACACAATAAATAATCAATATTCACATCATTTACCTTGTCATTATTTCCGTTCAATTTAATTTCATCCATTTATAACATTCAATATTTTCACTTTACTTAAAGCCACTGATAACTAAGAGATTTTCCTTTTGCATTCTGGTACTCGTTCGTAGTTGAAAGAACCACTCCAATAGGTATGTGGTACTACTTTTAACAGATAGTATATTCTTGTCTTTATGCAGGTGAATGGTGAAGTAGGTTGGTTGGAAATAATTTCCTGCTAATGGATATTTGTTTTCTGACCCCTCCATAGCCTTTAGTATTGTACGATTTTTTAATTAATTCGAATGAAAAATATATGTTGATTGATGGTTTTAAGTTTGAGGAAATTTACGTTTTTTTGAATGAAAAACGTCATACATTTTGTAGAAATCTAAAAGCAAGAAATTTCATAAGTTTTCTGTTCCAGGCTCTCATATTGTAGATACTGGATTTTTAAGAATAATTTTAGCAAATTTGCAATCTTAATGTAAGCAACTTCCAATTTGTTTTGTATCATGGAAAAACTCTAATTAATAAATCCTAAAAGTTTCAAATTGCTGGGATGGCTTAAAGTATTTTTCAGGTACCTTCAAAGATGATTTTACAGGAATTTTATGATTCTTTCAGGTATTAATGAGTAAAAAAATTGGCAACTTTAGTTGTGATGAGTTTCATATCAACTTCCAATTTGTTTTGTATCATGGAAAAACTCTAATTAATAAATCCTGAAATTTTCAAATTGCTGGAATGTCTCAAAGTATTTTTCAGGAACCTTCAAATACGATTTTACAAGAATTTTATGATTTTTTCAGGTATTAATTAGTAAAAAAATTAGTAACTTTGGTTGTGAGCTTCATATCAAGTTCCAATTTATTTTGTATTATGGAAAAACTCCAATTAATATATCCTGGAAGTTTCAAATTGCTATGATAGCTCAAAGTATTTTTCAGGAACCTTTAAAAACGATTTTACAGGATTTTTTTAATTTTCTTAGGTATTAGTGAATAAAAAAATTCGCAACTTTAGTTGTGAGTTTCATATCAACTTCCAATTTGTTTTGTATCATGAATAAACTCCAATGAATAAATTCTGAAGGTTTCAAATTGCTGGGATGGCTCAAAGTATTTTTCAGGAAACTTTAAATATGATTTTACAAGAATTTTATGATTTTTTCAGGTATTGATAAGTAAAAAAATTCGCAACTTTACTTCTGCGTTTCAAACCAACTTCCAATTTGTTTTGTATCATGGAAAAATTCTAATTAATAAATCCTGAAAGTTTCAAATTGCTAGGACGGCTCAAAGTATTTTTCAGGAACCTTCAAAGACGATTTTATAAGAACTTTTTGATTTTCTTAGGTATTAGTGAATAAAAAAATTCGCAACTTTAGTTGTGAGTTTCATATCAACTTCCAATTTGTTTTGTATCATGAATAAACTCCAATGAATAAATTCTGAAGGTTTCAAATTGCTGGGATGGCTCAAAGTATTTTTCAGGAAACTTTAAATATGATTTTACAAGAATTTTATGATTTTTTCAGGTATTGATAAGTAAAAAAATTCGCAACTTTACTTCTGCGTTTCAAACCAACTTCCAATTTGTTTTGTATCATGGAAAAATTCTAATTAATAAATCCTGAAAGTTTCAAATTGCTAGGACGGCTCAAAGTATTTTTCAGGAACCTTCAAAGACGATTTTATAAGAACTTTTTGATTTTCTTAGGTATTAGTGAATAAAAAAATTCGCAACTTTAGTTGTGAGTTTCATATCAACTTCCAATTTGTTTTGTATCATGAAAAAACTCTAATCAATAAATCTTGAAAGTTTAAAATTTCTGGAATGGCTCAAAGTATTTTTCAGGAACCTTCAAAGAAGATTTTATAGGATTTTTTTGATTTTCTTAGGTATTAGTGAATAAAAAAAATCACAACTTTAATTATGAGTTTCATATCAACTTCAAATTTGCTTTGTATCATGAAAAAACACTAATTATTAAATCCTGAAAGTTTCAAATTACTGGGATGGCTCAAAATTTTTTTCAGGAACCTTCAAAGACGATTTTACAAAAATTTTATGATTTTCTCAGGGATAAGTAAATACAAAAATTCGCAACTTCACTTGTCAATTTCATATCAACTTTCAATTTGTTTTGTATTATGGAAAAACTCTAATTAATAAATCCTGAAAGTTTCAAATTGCTGGGATGGCTCAAAGTATTTTTCAGGAATCTTGAAAGACGATTTTACAGGATTTTTTTGATGAAATATCACTAGAAATATTCGAATGTTTCAAGATTTTAAAATCTCTTGAATCTTTATTGTTGTAACGAACGGTAGAATTTTTCTGAAGTCATAAGTCTTAGAGCCTTAAAATCTTTGATGCTTAAAGTCTTTAGATTTTATTATATTTTGAGAATTTCATGTTTTGAATGGGAAAAATCTTTTTTTAAAGTTTTTCTCAAATGAGTCCTTAAGTCTTTAGAATTATTGGAGTGAGACTCAAAATTCTTAAAAAACTAAAATCTTTGCAGCTTTTAAAGTTTTTGAAGGTCAAATTGAGAGCCTAAGAACCAGTGTTGTCAGATGTCAAATTTAAAATTATCAGGATTTGAGAACAAAATTATTAGATTCCAAGAAAAATTATCGAATGTAATACCACAAGAGGTTTCAGGATTACCGGATAATACTATTACCTGTCACGAAACACGCGTTACGCAGCAACACCACGACTCCGAAGAAGGAGTGGTGTTGCTGGTAACGCGTTGAGTGTCAGGTAAAAGTATTAGGTAATCCTGAAACATCGAGTGGTATTCAAGGGGTTATACATCGAACTAAACTTCAATGCTTTATTAATTTTTATTATTATTAGCAACAAATTGCCACCAAGCGCGATAATCCCAAAGGGCTTATCACTTATTAAGCCTCTCCGGTCATATGGGAATAATGTACAGTGAGTTGTATAATCAGAAAAAGTTTCTGTCAACTTTAAAAATTCGAACTTTTCTAAAGGGGTACGCATGGAAATTTGATTTTCAAATATTTCAAAGAGCCATATTTTGGAAACCAGTGAAGTTATTGGCATGAATCTTTTGTCCAATTGTAGCTCTTAATAAGGGCTACAAAAAAGGTTATTTAAGACTCCAAGCCCAAGGGCTTCGTTTCCAAGAAAATTCGCCTGGAAGCTTTTGCAAAATTTAAGGTAAAGTTTCAACTTTGAGCCTCAATATCTTCACAAGTATTTAAGATATAGAATTGAATCTTATTTTATCTTGAAGATAATTTAAGTATGCTTCAGAATATATAATTTAACATTATATTTGTTATAATAATAACCGAGTAATCAGCAACTTTGTGAAAGAATGTCAGATTATTGAAATTTTTTCGAGCCCAAAAATTTCAAAAATCGTTTTTATTTTTTAACGAGGCTTTAAAACCCAAAAAGGAAAGTTGCGAAAATGCTTTTCTACTAATTTTAACCTCTTCTTTCGATTGGTGAAGTCAAAAATTCGAAAAACTGAAAATTTAAAAATTCGAACTTTTCCAAAGGGGTATGCATAGAAATTGGATTTTCAAATATTTCAAATGCTTGTATTTTGGAAACCAGTGAAGCTATTAGCATGAATCTTTTGCTTAATTGTAGCTCTCAATAAGGGCTACAAAAAAGGTTATTTAAGACTCCAAGCCCAAGGGCTTCGTTTTCAAGATAATCCGCCTGGAAGCTTTTGCAAAATTTGAGGTAAAGTTTCAACTTTGAGCCTCAATATCTTCACAAGTATTAAAGATATAGAATTGAATCTTACTTTATCGTGAAGATATTTTAATTCTGATTTAAAATATATAATTTTACATTATATTTGTTACAATAATAACCGAGTAATCAGCAATTTTGTGAAAGAATGTCAGATTATTGAAATTTTTTTGAGGCCAAAAATTGCAAATTTTTTTTTTATTTTTTAACGAGGCTTTAAAACCCAAAAAGGAAAGTTGCGAAAATGCTTTTCTACTAATTTTTACCTGTTTTTTCGAATGGTGAAGTCAAAAATTCGAAAAACTGAAAATTTAAAAATTCGAACTTTTCTAAAGGGGTATGCATGGAAATTTGATTTTCAAATATTTCAAAGAGCCATATTTTGGAAACTAGTGAAGTTATTGGCATGAATCTTTTGCTCATTTATAGCTCTTAATAAGGGCTACAAAAAAGGTTATTTAAGACTCCAAGCCCAAGGGCTTCGTTTCCAAGAAAATTCGCCTGGAAGCTTTTGTAAAATTTAAGGTAAAGTTTCAACTTTGAGCCTCAATATCTTCACAAGTATTTAAGATATAGAATTGAATCTTATTTTATCTTGAAGATAATTTAAGTCTGCTTCAGAATATATAATTTAACATTATATTTGTTATAATAATAACCGAGTAATCAGCAACTTTGTGAAAGAATGTCAGATTATTGAAATTTTTTCGAGCCCAAAAATTTCAAAAATCGTTTTTATTTTTTAACGAGGCTTTAAAACCCAAAAAGGAAAGTTGCGAAAATGCTTTTCTACTAATTTTAACCTCTTCTTTCGATTGGTGAAGTCAAAAATTCGAAAAACTGAAAATTTAAAAATTCGAACTTTTCTAAAGGGGTACGTGCATGGATATTTGATTTCCAAATATTTCAAAGAGCCTTATTTTAGAAACCAGTGAAGCTATTAGCATGAATCTTTTGCCCAATTGTAGCTCTTAATAAGGGCTACAAAAAAGGTTATTTAAGACTCCAAGCCCAAGGCCTTCGTTTCCAAGAAAATTCGCCTGGAAGCTTTTGCGAAATTTGAGGTAAAGTTTCAACTTTGAGCCTCAATATCTTCACAAGTATTTAAGATATAGAATTGAATCTTACTTCATCTTGAAGATAATTTAATTCTGCTTCATAATATATAATTTCATATTATATTTGTTATAATAATAACTGAGTAATCAGCAATTTCGTGAAAAAATGTCAGATTATTGAAATTTTTTGAGCCAAAAATTGCAAAAATCGTTTTTATTTTTTTACAAGGCTTTAAAACTTTTAAAAAAAAGTTGCAAAAATGCTTTTTCCATAATTTTGATCTCCTCTTTTGATTGGTAAAGTCAAACATTGCAAAATCTAAAAATTTAAAAATTCGAATTTTTCCAAAGGGGTATGCATGGGAATTTGATTTTCAAATATTTCAAAGGGCCATATTTTGGAAACCAGGAAAGTTATTGGCATGAAACTTTGGCTCAATCTGGGACTAATGTTTAGTGCTCCCACCAGTACGTGAAAAATCTATATTGAAATTATTGTAGTTTCAATAAATTATGGTAGATTAGCTTGTCATTATCGATTATTGAATCGTAGTCAAAATTATGGTAGAATTCGATAATTATCGGGTCATTGGCAACACTGCTAAGAACTTTTGAAGTTTTCAAATTAATTGGTACCTTGAAATAACACAAACTTTAGAGAAGATATAATCTTAGATGTTAATATTCTTCAGATCCTTCAAAATTACCTACTTCAATTTTTATTTTTATATCATTAAAATATTTGCAGTCTTTCTCTTGATGAACTTCTAAGTTTTAAAGCTTCAAAATCTTTGGATTTTCTTTCATTTTAAGATCTTATTCATATTCAATTAATATTCTTTAGAGTGTTATTGAGTGAGATTTGAAACTTTTCAAAATACAAAATTTTTAGGATCTTCAAAAATTTTAAATCAAGAGCTTTAGGACCTTTGCAGTTTTCAAATTTATTAGTTTTAGAATCTTTAGAGTGAAACTTTGATTCTTCAAAGCTAAAAGCTAGTAAATTCTCTAGAGACTTTATGTATTGTGTTTCAGAATATTTGCGGTGAAACATTAACAATCTTCAAAGTTTGAAATATTTACGATTTCAAAAGATAATATATAAATCAAGGACTTTAGGACTTTAGGAGTCAGAGTCTCCAAAATCTCTTAAATTTTTGGTGTTATAAAATAAGAATCTTCGGCATGTTTTTTTCTGAGAAAAGCCTTGGAGTTTTCGTAGTTTTTGAATGTTCTTTCATTTAAGAGAATCTCAGTAAAATCTTCATTTAAAAATCTTGACAAATGGGCCTTAAAGCTCTCAAATTCGCCTTTGGATTTTTATTTCAAAGTCCTTAAACTTCAATATCTTGGAAATCTGTTAGAGCTATTGTATCAAAATTTCCAGGAATTGTAGCTCTTATTAAATTCTAAAAATCCTTTTTTTTGAGAAAATTGGGTTTGGAGTTTTTGATTAAATTTCGATTAAAATTCAACTTTGAGGCTCAATTGCTCACAAAGTATTTGAGCTATCAAAATCAATTTAACACTGATTTATAGAGAATTTAATGCTTTTTCCAATGGTGTATGATTTTTCTAATTTGCTTTAATTTGCTTAAATACATTTCTGGCAATACTAAAAACGAGCTCAGATTTGGAGATTTAGTTGGGCAATAAAATTTGACAGAACTTTATGATATATATTGAGGTAAACGAGTGCCCAGAAGTTTCAAAAAAATCAATTGTTGAAAAGTTAATTAAAGTTTATTTCAAAATGAATTATTTTAGAAACATATTAAAATATTACAAAAATTCAAAATTACAGTCTAATGCTATCCTGTAATGATAATTATCGATGTTTTTGGTTTTCGCGTGGCGTAATTGGTTTTAAATCTAATTTAAATTATATGGAATTAAATATACATACTAAGCAAAAATTAGGGAAAATTTAAGGCAAAATGATTTATATTGGTATGAGCTGTTATGATTTTTACTCAAATATTTTTAGGTAAATTTTCTTTTATTAATAAATTATAATAATAAATAATGTTATCTTTTAAAAAACTAGAGAAGATATTTTTTAATTAAAAAATATAAAAATTATGTAAATTAGATATAAAAAAAAACCTTGAATTAATTTATAAAGAACTATTTTTCCGCATTAATTACGCTATATTTAGTAATAATTAATGGATAATCGATTTTCTCGATATCAATAAATGTAACATCAATTGAACAAATAATACAAAAATATACTGAAGTTACATTTAACTAGACACGTAGGTAATTCTATTTACATTTTCCTTGTACTTTAGTCTTTCTAAAGGCATTTATATTTGGTATAAAAAGTAGAATTTCATTATCATTATCAATATCGATTTAAAATGGAAAAATGGCTCGTTACAGTTTATGAGAAATTGTCAGGAAAATGTTGATTCAAAGGAGAACAATGTAAATAGTAATCTCCATATCTACAAACTCATTTTGCTATAAAATTATGCATGCGTTGTTGCCAAATGTAAAATCCTATTAAATGATAGGTACTTGCAGTTTTCTAACTTTTTGTTGAATTTTTTGATTTTTCTTATTGTTGGGTTCTCTGCTTTAATTTTTTCAAAAATGTTCTCCTTGATTAGCTTTTTATATAGAAAATTTAATTATTTATGAGTTCTTAAAGTTTCAAGAGTCAAAATATTTTTTACAGATCTTTTTAAGAAGATTTTTGAGGAAATTAATAACTATAATCTTTCAGAATTCAATTTCATTTGGTTATTTGAAGGATGCAATAAGAAAAAGTAAATAGGAAAATGTGAAGATTTAAACCTTTCGCTGGGTATTTATTTATGCTTTCTACTATCGTAAACTAAAGTAAAGTAGGCAAAGGTAAAATAATTATCGAAGATACACTTAGTAATTTTTGCATTACTGATGCGTTTCAAAGACTTTCTTTCTTTTATAAATAAAACAATTTATCATCTAAATTAATTTTATCCCAGACAAGTAAGTAGGTATACAAAATATATGAAAATTTTATTAATTATTGCGGTAAATTTTGCACAATTATTACAATATTTATTGTCGTTTTCAAGCAATTAAATTTGCAAAAACTTCAAGATTAGGTATAATAATACGTGACTGTTCTTGAAATTTCAAATGCAAACAAGCCAAATAACTAATTTAGTTTTTACCTGCCATGACCATTAAAACAAGACAAAAAAAAACTATTTTCATAAAGAACAAGTTATTAGTTGACGTCAGAAAGTATTTGGGATTTTTCAATTAAACAATACAGTAATTTGAATAATAAATTTTCTAAATATTGACTTTTTCTGTTTGTAACGTTATAAAACTTGAAAAATTCAAATTACATAATTGCGTGTTTTAGTTGAAACTTTGCCAGTAGGATAAAGGATTTTATCTAGATTTTATAAATAAACAATTTATGTTTCAAAGGGTTTTATTTTGAATAATTAATATAGACAATCATTTATTGAAAATTTCAATTCAATCTATCTAAAAGGCAGTGATATTTTAAAGAATTACATATATTTATTATATTTTCTGAAACATTAATTTGCAATGTGTTATTTGGAACAACTAAAATAAAATCACAGCCAAATTTATTTAATAATTTGCAAAATTTTAATAAAAGCCCAACAACAATTATTAAAAAACATTGAAACTGTTAACAAGCTTATTTATTATAGAGGCGGTATCCATATATCTCCGGTAATGTCCATTTCCTGTTGTAGAAACTCGGAAAGTTGACTTTCCGAAGCTGCCGGATGCTTTTTTACAAGATCTTTGGCGACTTTATTGAATTTCATTATCTGAAATAAATAATTACTAATTTAAAAAATATTCAAATTAAATATAATCGTCCCATATTTCATTTTTTTTTTTTCAAAATTTGAGATAACTTGTCTGGAATTTTATTTTTCCATGTACTTTAACCTCACGAAATTTTAACCAGTCTAGGCCCATAACCTGTCGGAATTTTCGTAATATTACCGGCTCTATTTAAGAGAAAAAACTAGCACATTATTATATTTTGGTGTTTTTCTTGCAAACTATTGATCCTACACTAAAACTATAAATTAGTAATTTGTAGAACATTTAATTGGCTTCAATTTGAGCCCAATTTCATCGAAATCGGTTGAAAATTGACAAAGTTATGAGGCAAAATATGAAGAAAAAAAATATCAAAATCTTATATAAAATTACCAGCCTACTTGATTAATAGCGTTTGCGCGTTTGCTTATGTTCAACCCTTTCTCCGAGCCTGGTAGATATAGGGGAAGATAATCTGCCAAGCCAAAATCTTTCTTTAAGGCCTGCTTGATCAAAAAAAGCTTATTCTAACATAAAATTACTATAAACTATACACACAAAAAGCCTCTATTTTATAATAAATTACTTTTCTCGGTACTCACTCTAAAACTGTGGCCATTGCTCGGAAATTCAGTTTTCCAAAAAATAAACACCGAATTCGAACCGCGACACTTTTCCGAACACTTTAGAGTACTTTTTCCTGTTGAAAACGGGAAAATTCGACGAAAAACCGGATGTAGAAAAGCTTTAGTCATTTTTCATTTATAATAATGGCCGACTGTCAAGTGTCAAAATTGCCATTCCAACGCGTACTTGATTGAAAACCTATTATTAAAGGCTTATAATTATAATAATTTCATAAAATTTAACTTAACTAGGCCTTAATTAGTTATTTTACTCGATTTTAGGTGTTTTTTGGGGCTCGCGATTGCAACGCCATCTCGTGACAAATGAGTATAGTTCCATTATTGTTACAAAATGGCTCACGCGCTGTTATTTTTATTCCGATTTTTCGTTAAACTTTCCAATTTTTTATAGTTTTATTAAACATAATTAATTAATTAACTAAATTTTAAACAAAAAACCATTTAAAATGTAATTTTTTCCTATTTGAAATGTGGCAACGTCGCTTTTAATCAAGTGCCTAGGCATTGTAGTAATGAAATGTTATTTGCCACTTTTCTTTTGACAGTCGTTTATTTTTGATTGGCGTGTTTACATTTTGTCCAATTTTTCCTCGAATTTTCCGCTTTTCCAGGCCGTTTTCAGTCGGAAAAACTGGTTTAAAATACGAGGCTTCATTTTCCGCCAAATATTTCCAGTTTTCCAAGGTGGTAAGTAATGATAATTCAAGTTTTATCAAGTAGACTTTGGAATGTTATTTTTGCTGGTTTTTCAGGCCATTTTTGAGCGGGAAAACTGACATGAAGTAGGTACGAGAATTTGAATTGTCTTAATTTTTTGTCAAAAGTTTCCACTTTTAAATGCAAAAATTAGCGGCGCAAGAAAAAATTATTAAAAAACATCTTTTTCACCTTTTTTAGGGAATTTCTAGTTTTAAAATCATTATAAATTAATCTTTTTCAATAAATTACGATTTTTTTTAGATGGCAACACTGCTTTCTAGCCAACTTCACTCGGATTCCAATCAAGTAGGTCTAAAACCTAGTACACATAACTGCGAATTGCGGATTTTTTTCTATTGGTCGATTTTATTTAAGTTTAACAGGTTTAAATATATTCGACCAATAGAAAAAAAACCGCAATTCGAGGTTATGAGTACTAGGCTCTAAAATGTCATTTATAGAGTCTGTGCCAGTGACATTTGACAGTTAGCCATTTTGCCAATTTTCCAGTTTCCCGGGACTTTTCAATCGGAAAAAGTACTCTAAAGTGCTCGGAAAAGAAAAGTGTCGCGGTTCCAATTCTGTGTTTATTTTACTCAGAAAATTGAATTTCCGAGTGGGGGTCACAGAAATTTGATTATTAAAAAACTAGGCCTTTTGCAAGGATGATACACACTACCACCACAGGATGACCTATCCTCATAAGGCCTGTGTGTAAGAAATGCTGCCTGATCTATCATTTCCAAAATTGATATTATCGTGAGCTTTGTTCATTGAATTCAATGATTTTGTTGATCGAAATCTTCTAATGAAACTCAAGTCGTACCTACATGTCCTGAATATAAATTTGGCCTGACCTGGCCTATTGTAGAAATGTTGTTGAAATTCAAAATCAATGATGTCTTAGATCTGCAATAAGGTCATCTTCAAGGACTTCATCCTTTATTCCAATGTTTTTGGTATTTTTTTTTCACGAATAATCAAGAATAGAGATGGCCAAAATATATCGATATTTTGTAAATATCAATATATTTCTCAAATATATCGATATAATTTAATCGATATTTTACACTCGATATATCGAAAAAATTATCGATATAATCTTTTTGATATATCAGAAATTTTAAAATAATTCTTGACTCGTGCGCATATTTCATTTGTTGACTCTGACAGTATGACGGCTAGAATAAAACAAACGTCAGTTAGGGCGTGTACCTATAGTTTTTTTCACGTGGCTCCGGTTCAACTAACCGGGTTACAAAACGGTTAGAGAAATGACACCGTTTTCTAACCCGGTTACAAAGTGATGTGATGGATACCTAAGGTGGGTTCGGCTTGCTCACTCCGTGCACTCCGAGTGACTCCATTCGCACTCCAGCCGTTCGGGTTAAGGTTCAGGTATTGCTTTTTACCGTATTAGGGGTGACTCCATTAGCTCTTTTCACTCCACTGTAACTCCGCGCTGAATAGCCGAACCCAGCTCTACTACTCGAATTGTTGCGATTTGTTAAACCGGAGCCAAGTGAAAAGGGTTTTTGAATATAAAACTACAGGAAGGAGCGTTTTCTATCTGTCACTACAGACAAAGCAGGGACGGAAACGGCCATATTGGGCCTCCAAGTATGGACTCATCATTTGTTTTGGTGGTTCGCTGTGTCCTCATTCAAGTGGATGTTTAATAGATTTTAGCGGTTTTAAGTGATAATAAGTACTGGAATTAGAGTGAGAAAAGAGTGAGTCATAATATTGACAATCATATTTAAGTAAATATACGCCACTGCCAAACCGGAAATACTAGTCGGCCATATGCAACCTCCACATATTTTGGTCGCGCAGATTCGAAGTTATGCTCCTTCCTGTAGTTTTATATTCAAAGGCGTGTACATACCAACTGAATTAGGAAAAGAGAATTTCCGCATGATTAAGGAACGTTATTTTCCTACGATCGTGCGGAAAAATACATTTCCGCGCGCATTTTAGAACATGAAAGTATCAGGGTGACCTAACATTGCATAATTATTCTACTTTTCCACACTAGTGCGGAAAAGTGATATTTTCATGGCCTAAAATGCGTGCAGAAAAAAAGCACTTTTCGCACGCTCGTAGAAAAAAAATTGAAAAATAAAATATATATCGATATATTCGAAATATCGATGTTTTTTGTTCGATATATATCGAATGTATCGATATGTTATTTCGATATATCATATGATTCGATATATCGATATATTTTTATATTTTGCCATCCCTAATCAAGAATGATAAGGTCGAGTTCATCAGGACATAGCGCTACAGTAGCGATCATCAACAGTGTTGCCAGTTTATTACAAATATAGCAAATCTATTACATTTATCAAAGGTTAATTATTCACATTATTATATTTCCAATAAATCTATTATATTTTCACTTATTTAACCAAAAATTATTAAAATTAATGAGTTCCGCTTGAAACATTGAGCGCTCGGACCATTTTCCATCTTTTTTCCTTTTGGTGAGAAGAACAGGGATAAAATTTGCCACAATTGTAAAAATTTGGCAACACTGCTGCTGATCGCTATTGTAGCGCTACGTCCTGATGAACCCGACCAATCAAATAAATATAGGGCAATCCAACGACCTGTCAAAATGGAATTCAAAATGGAGGCCAATGCCTTTTTTCCACTAATAATTTCTTAAATTAAAAACTTTCCATCTTAGAATACGAAAATTATCCTCCCAAACACTAAAAAATCATCTAAAAGCACCACAAAGTACACAAAAAACAGTTTCTTGATGAAAAATGTCACGATTGCTGGAATTAAATTTATGGCGTCAATTTTTTGGCATTGACCATGCATTGACCACCATTTTGTTTGGATTGCCCTATTCCTACCCAATGAACTATAGCCAAAAACTGGAATGCGCGCACATTGCCATATCTGCCCAAAAAATGAAGCCATGAAAGACAGATGCCACAAGGGGGAATGTTGTTTTTTTCTGTTGCTCGCTGACATATGACGTTTTCGAAAGTTTTGTCATATTTTCCTTCACAGGTTTCATCAATTGGAATACGTGTTGGAAGCAATTTTCGCCATTTAACATAATGAGTGCGACAAAAACAGGTATCCCCTCCGCAGCAGCTGCACTAGGCTTCACGTCCTTCCTTATGTGTTAGCATTCCAGTTTTTGGTTATAGTTCATTGTTCCTACCTCAATGATATTAACCAAGAAAGTTAGGTTATATTATGTTCCAGATGTCTGGCTTAACAATATAAGCCGAAAATTTTGGAGGCTTAACTTAAACCTGGCTTAAAGTGAGTTGAGCGCAGGCTTAAACGCTAAGCTTCGCTTATTCACATATGGAGAATATGGCCATTAGGGTTGAATTTAGTTGTTCCTTGACACTTCCTTGGAGGTCGTGAGTTTACAATGGTCACTTGCTACCATTTAACAAGTTAGTCATGGCAATTCTAAATGTTTAAGGCTTCGCTTAAGGTCTGAGGAAACCTCAAGAAGTGTCTATTAAATATTCTTGGGTCTTTTGTGTGTCAAGAGATAACGCTGGAAATCAACATATGAACCCATCTCTTTCTTTGAGCCTGGCTAAGAAAAAGATAGAAATACATATTTGCCTGACCTACGTTATGTTAAAAACAGCTGAGCAGGCCAAAAAAATATGTATTTCTATCTTTTTCTTAGCCAGGCTCAAAGAAAGAGATGGATTCATGTTGATTTCCAGCGCTATCTCTTGACAGGTGAGTAAAGCTTAATTATTATAAACAAATTATTTATAGAAATATGGTCTCACTATGTGACGTAACTAGTTGTTTTTTTAAAAATTTAGCCCACTTAGGTACGAACTATACATACTTATAATATTGTTGTGTGTATCGCTGTATCATTCTATAGAATATGCCTGTTAGAGTATTCTCAATTATGGTAAAATAAATCTAAAGTTCATTTCACGAAACAAAATAGTGAAAGTTAACAAACTTTGACAGGTAAGTGGAATTTTATTGGCTAAAAAAAGAAAATGATTATACTCCGCCCTAGGCAAGACCGTCTTAGGTTGTTTTGTATTTCTTCTCTGAATATATTTCCGAAAGCATTCTTCAGCAGAATCTGTGGAATTTGATATTGTTTTAATCTAAATTGTTCACTAATTAACAATAATTCACCAAACACTATTTAAATAATTGTAAAATACTAGGAAATACGACATTAAACTTATTGACTCATAATATGACAACCTGACAATAATAAATGTCATTAGTTGTAATTCATATTTTTGCAGTCCTTCTCTGAATTTTCAAGCTCCGCCTGTTTGTTTACCTCTACTATCTCGTTTCGTGGAATGAACTTTAGTTGAATTATATCAGGGCCGTAGCCAAGGGGGGGCAATGCCCTATCTTTCAAATGATTATGCCCTTTAAAACATACTGTCACAACTACCCGCTTTACGGGGGTGACATGGGGGGTTTGTAGCTTTGGGGGTAGATGGAGAGAAACTCGCTCAGGTTATATAAAAATATATGCTATATATTTTTCCCAAATATAACCTTACATGTATGCTAATCCTATAAGATACATGACCCTTCGAACACTGGGGTCCTTATAGGGAGCCACACGTCAATTCTGCTTAGGGGACTGTAGATAAGTTTATCGTCACCCTTATGCCTTGTCCAGAGGGGCGTTCCCAACGAGAGGTAATTGCACTGGACAACGATAAGGCTGAAGATACCCAGAGGGGCGTTCCCAACGAGAGGTACTTGCACTGGGGAGACTTAATTCCAGAGGGGCTTTTCCAACGAGAGGTACTTGCACTGGTTTAAGTCTGCCTTTGCTGCGGCTTGCAGCGCAATTTATATCAATTTATTGCTGAATTGCAATAAACATTCGCTCGAATCGGCAATTAAATTAATAAGGTTGAATACCGGGTCCTCCTTTCCAAAGCAGCTAGTTGACAATACGTTGAGGTTTCTCTAGGAAATTTAAGAGAGATGAAAGCTCTGTTCCAACCGACATGAAAACCGTTCTAGAACGGTAATTTCCAGTCGATCAATTCATTTGTCAAGTAGGATAAACGTTCAACTTATTGAAAATTAGGTGGGCGATTGGAAATTACTGGTTCTGGAACGGTTTCCATGTCGGTTGGACCACAGCTAATGAATAGACCTGAAATCGAGTAAGTTGGTAGGTATACAGGGCTGGGACTCTGTAACGATTAGAGATATTTTCTCTATCTCTATTGACGCCCTCTCTCTATTGATTTCGAGAAGAGAGAAAAAGACAGCAAGTGTCATAGCGATAGGGATAACGATCTCTATCCGTTACAGAGTTCCAGCCTAGTTATTTTACAAGTAGTACAAGTAACTACGAGAAATCCCTTAAAAATAATTGCCTGAACGCGCCATTTTGCTCACTTGTCAGAGATGTTATTTATTGAAAAATTTGCCTTCGGCGCCATTACCCCCATTTTGTTGACCCATAAAAAATTTAAGGTGGGGGGGGGGAGAAGGGGGAAGTAGTGCGTGCCCTATGTCAAATTTTTCATGCCCTATCACCTATCACAAATTTGACTCTAGCTACGGCCCTGAATCATATTCTTACAACAAATGGTTGAATCGTGCTTCCTGTAAAATTGGAAAATTTGAAGTACGACAGTACCTACGTGAGATAGGGGAGGATATGACTGTAAATATTTGAGTTGGTTTTTTAATTTCTAGTAAACAGTACTGCTCAGGTTGCCTCCCGCCATTTATACCTTTAGGCCCCTCCCCAAATTTCATTGCTAAGGAATCAGGTGCAAATGCGCGAAATTTAAAACGCTATTCATTATTCTTACCTTGTTAACCATAACTTTAACGCCACAATTATTAAAATTATTATTATTTCTATCTAATTTTTCTTCGCCGTCCAATGGCCATATCCTCACCCAGCCTCCTTCGCGCGGTTTAGGACAATTCCAATCTCTTCCATTACCCCACGTTTTAGAGCCAGATTTTTTGAATTCTTCTTCAATCTGCAACAATATTGTCAGTGAATCTTGTAAAAACTTCACAATTTTTACTTACAGGCTTGTCCTTTATTGGCACATTATTGTTATAAGAAAACGCCGTTTGATGACCGTCCACTTGGACTTTTGGCAGTTTCATATAAGTCTCTGAAAAATTTTAAAAGTGAATTGTAATAAAAAAAAAAAAGAAAAATCTTACTTGAATTATAAGCAGACGTGGACCGATTTCTTTGCCTGCCAGTATTTGTCCGAGACGAACTTTGATGTGCAGACATTCTTTTGTATTTTCTTCTCCATCTACCGGCAGCGTTTAGTACCGAAATTGTGCCTGATAAGGAAATTTTCTTTTCGATTTCTTCGTCACTAGAAAACAGAGTAGATTTAAAGCATTTTTACAAGTAAGTAGATGTTGAGATGCTCAAATAACCCCCCACTATTTTACATTGGCCTTGGAATTGAAGTAGTGGGGGGCGGTTTAGAAGCTACAATGCTTACTTTTCATTTTGATTAGAATCGTCCAACCAAATATTGAATATGGACAAACCAGTGTTGTACAAAGGCAATCCGAGTAGATCAAACATGTCGTGCAACATTGGCTTTTTTACTAATCTATCAGCGTCGCAATCGTTACTAAGAGCTGGACTTAAATTGACCTAGAAAAATGTTTAAGTAATTTTCAATTTAATCTTTTCTTTCTTACCTCTAACAACCATGGTCTTAGTGAATTGTCAATAAGCACATCAAATCCAAAAAACTCAAAACAATTCACTGTTGGTGGAATTTGATGAATTTGACTTATGATGGTCAATACAACCAATGAAGTAATCTTTTGCCAAATCAACCAATCAGCAATTGAAGCTTGTTGAAAATATCTTCTCAATTGTCTCAATGTCCATTTACAACCTGAACCAACTCTATCTTTCATTTCAGCATATCCAGGCCCCAATTTATTAATGGAGCAATTCGTCAAGTGTCTAAAAGGATTTCTCAAATCGTTTAGGCTAAATTTATCAGTACCAAATCTTGCAAGGCCTTCTCGATACATGTAAACAGTCAAAGGATGATAAGAAGTGACGCAAACGTAAAGCCTCAAATCGAATTTGTAGCCTCCAATTAAAAAAGGCTTTTCAATGTAGCGCTGGACCACTGTGTTTGTATCATAATTGAGTTCACTAAGTTTCTATAAGGAAAATATAAATTGTAAAATAATAAAGCGAAAAGATTCTTACTTTGAAAAGAAATATCCCTCGTCCTTGACTCTGAGCCACTGGTTTGCAAATCCAAATCGGTTTTTCTTCGGGTAGTCGGTTTTCGTCTTTGGAAATTTGCGGCCGGCCTCGGCTACATTCGGCCGCCAATTTTGTGTATTCGAGCGGCAAATTGTAGCCGTGCGGGCTGAAATCGTATACTGATCCGTAGACTTTTTTCATGCATCTTAAGTATCGGATCAAGTTGTCTTTGCGGCATATCGTCGAGCCTTTTGGGATATGATTGAGGTACTGGAATTTTGAGTTTAATTATTAAATCGATTATGGGCCGGTTCCTCAATAGCAAATCACCCAGGATTAACATTGCATCTGGACACGTGTTTTGATTAAATTACAACAAGTCGATTACCTGCATACCTGCCAAGCGTAAATATTTTTGTGGTGACTCGTAGAAAATCCAGTAGTCCTCCACCATAGATTCCAATTCTCGTTATTGTTATCGCTATTGTATTCTCTCCAACCTCGTTCCAAACAAACCTATTTTGATAAAAAAATCATTAGCATATAATAATTAAAGTTCAAACAAACAAGAAAACCATTAAGAAAAATTGCATTTATATGCAAATCAGTTGAGACCTAAAAATAAAACATAAAGAGGAAGCACACCGATTTGCATAATCCGCAATAAGGAAAATTAACGGTAAACTTTAAAAGTTGGAATTTGCGAAATTCCTCAAAGCGATAAGCTTAAGTTTAAAATATTCTACTTCTTGGTTTTATCCAGTAGTGGAATCTCATCTGGCATTTACGTTTTCCAGTTTAATCAAGAGGATAAATTATTGGTTTCGAGTGTAATTTTCTTTTAACCTTTGCGACATATAATTGATACTCTTATTTAAAGAATTTTTTAATTTTCGCAATTAGAAACTTAAATAGTTGATTTATTAACTATTTCTATTGTTAACGTAAATATGATTCAGTAGTTGCATGTCATGGCACTATTATGGGAGCAAAATTATAAATTAGTTGCATATACCTTCCATTAAGTTTAAACTTTGGTGTCTAATATTTCGTTAAATATAGGTTAAATTGTTTTGAGTTTAATGGAATTTGTCTTGTGGCTCATTTTATAGCTATTTTTAGTAAATGTGTATCGTATACTTATAAGTTGCGTGTAAAATATGTTAAACAATCTTGAGGTTTTGGATATTGTAAATTAGAAATTTAATGAGATTGCAACAGAACTACATGAAATTGAGGTAAAAATGTTCCCATTTCCAGCCCTTTTCAAACCAAAGTTACACTAGAAAAATATTAAAAACTAATTATTCTATAATCAAATTTGAACTAGAAAGCATTTTGATGCTCGTAGATTGAAATTCAGCAAAAGAAACCTGAAAATCTTGAAATTTCCTTCATTATCGAGCTGAAATTCGGAATAAAAATGCAAAAAAATTCTATTTCTGGCTCTTGAGTTTTCTATATGTTTTCGTTTGGAGAAAAACCAGCCTACAAAGGAATCAACTATAAAATAAGAGCATTTGTGCACAACTATTGGAAATTTCGTACCGATAGCTTTCCTGGTTTCCAAAATATATTTGAGAATTAAATTTCCTTAGAAAACTTTAAGTTTTGATTTTTCTAGATTTGATAATGAAACTTTTATTCAAAAAAACCCAATTTAATAATCTCATCTCAAATCAACCTTTAACAAACAAATTCGATATTAAAACAATTTCATTTATAAATTCCATTAGTTTAAATTTATAGAATATTACTTTCTCATCATTTAAAAAAAAATTTCAATTGAATTTAATGATTTATTTGTATATAGGGTTGATTGTTCATGTTTACCTGGCATTATGCCACAAATAATATTATTGTGAATTGACATTGGACTTCAACAGCATGATTAATTTAGTCGTTGATGTGGCTTTGCACGCTATAATTTTACCTTAATTTTTTTTTTGTCAGAGGGAGGACAATAATTATTATAAAAAAATGCCTCTAAAACAAGATATTTGATATTTTCAAATGTCTTTCAGTAAAAATTCAATGTCTTTTCTGAACAAAAAAAAAACTCATAACTTAAGTTTCAATATCGATATCAGTAGTATATAAAAGGCACATTGAAGTGTATTTTCTATAATTTTTTAATCTCTTACTACCATTTCTAACCCCAATATAAAATCCCATTGACTCAAACCACGTGGAAATATGAAAAACTACCTTTAAAATAAATAAAAATGCATAAATAGGTATATCTACATTTACTCAAAAAAAAGTTAAATTTAACTTTATTTTTTAGAAGACTTTGAATGATTTTGTGACAAATATCACATTCAAAATCATATTTTTCTTAATGTATCATAAAATATTGCTTTAAAATTCATAATGTTACATCTATTCTCCTCGTAAAATTTCCTCTATAAAATCTTCAGAAAAATGTTTAAATTAATAAAAAATCATTTAAAACTCAATATAAAGTACATACAAATATGTATTTAAAATTTTGTGGTAATTGTATAGAATTTAATATGAATTCCATGAAGATTTCTAGATTAATTTGGAAATTTTCAAGAATAAATATTTACCTGCGTCAAAAGTTGAGGCCCGGTTCCATTTTCGTTGAGTCTGAATACAAATGGACCGTTTCCGAAGCATTCTTCAAACATTTTTCAGAATTTTTTCTGAAAAAATTGATAAATAAACAATTAGGAAAGATTTCATGTAATAATAATTATCTAACAATAATAAATTTTAAAATTTATACACCTTTTTTGTCAATGTTTTTCAAATTTTTCCTTTTTATATTTCATGTTTTTTATCTCAATTTTTTGATAGGAAAATCATGTTTTCTTAATTTTTATCTCAATTTTTCATATTATTGTTTGACTTAATTTTTTTTATCTTTTTTCAAATCTTGACTTGTCTTCTAAATTTCCCCAGCCTAATTATTATTTTTTATTGATTTTTCAATTTTCCATTTTTTTTTTTTAATTTCAAGTTTTTTATTTTCATTATTTCTGAATTTTGGGTTTTCGTATAAACTAGGAAATAAATGAAAACAGACAAAAGTTATAAAGGGAAAAAGAAAATTGAGAAATAAAAAAAAACATTAATTATTAATAGACATATTTTTCTTATTCCAGGCTCTTGAATGTTACTCCTAGAGAAATTTAGAAAACAAGAAATAGACAAAAATTTCGACAAAAAATATCAAAAAATAGAAAGTGGAAATTCAAAAACAATTGAGACAAAAATTGATAAAAAAAAAAACATTATTTTCCCATCCTAATTTATAGCCAATCAAAAGGCCAAATTAAGCTAATCAAGAGCTGGGAATATTTGAAATTTAAATTTATAAGCAAATCAACAGTTGCGAATTTCCAGAAATTAAATTTTGAAACCAATCAAAATTCGGGAAAATTGAAAAAATTAAATTTTAAAGCCAATCAAAAGCCGAAAAAATTCAAAAAATTGAATTTCAAAGCCAATCAAGAACCGGGAATATTCAAACATTGAATTACAAAACGTCATATTAAGTCAATCAAGAGTCGAGAATATTTAAAAATTGAATTTCAAAGTAAATTAAGAATTGGGAATTTTCGAAAATTGAATTTTAAAGCCAATCAAAATCCGGGAAAATTAGAATAATTGAATTTTAAAGCCAATCAAGAACTGGGAATATTCAAACATTGAATTTTAAAAGAACAAATTAAGCCAATCAAGAGCCGGGAATATTTGAAATTTAAATTTATAAGCAAATCAAGAGTTGGGAATTTCCAGAAATTAAATTTTGAAACCAATCAAAATTCGGGAAAATTGAAAAAATTAAATTTTAAAGCCAATCAAAAGCCGAAAAAATTCAAAAAATTGAATTTCAAAGCCAATCAAGAACCGGGAATATTCAAACATTGAATTTCAAAACGTCATATTAAGTCAATCAAGAGTCGAGAATATTTAAAAATTGAATTTCAAAGTAAATTAAGAATTGGGAATTTTCAAAAATTTAATTTTAAATCCGGGAAAAATTGAAATAATTGAATTTTAGAGCCAATCAAAATCCGGGAAAATTAGAATAATTGAATTTTAAAGCCAATCAAAAACTGGGAATATTCAAACATTGAATTTTAAAAGAACAAATTAAGCCAATCAAGAGCCGGGAATATTTGAAATTTAAATTTATAAGCAAATCAACAGTTGCGAATTTCCAGAAATTAAATTTTGAAACCAATCAAAATTCGGGAAAATTGAAAAAATTAAATTTTAAAGCCAATCAAAAGCCGAAAAAATTCAAAAAATTGAATTTCAAAGCCAATCAAGAACCGGGAATATTCAAACATTGAATTACAAAACGTCATATTAAGTCAATCAAGAGTCGAGAATATTTAAAAATTGAATTTCAAAGTAAATTAAGAATTGGGAATTTTCAAAAATTGAATTTTAAATCCAGAAAAATTGAAATAATTGAATTTTAAAGCCAATCAAAATCCGGGAAAATTGAAATAATTGAATTTTAAAGCCAATCAAGAACCAGGAATATTCAAACATTGAATTTTAAAAGAACAAATTAAGCCAATCAAGAGCCGGGAATATTTGAAATTTAAATTTATAAGCAAATCAATAGTTGCGAATTTCCAGAAATTAAATTTTGAAACCAATCAAAATTCGGGAAAATTGAAAAAATTAAATTTTAAAGCCAATCAAAAGCCGAAAAAATTCAAAAAATTGAATTTCAAAGCCAATCAAGAACCGGGAATATTCAAACATTGAATTTCAAAACGTCATATTAAGTCAATCAAGAGTCGAGAATATTTAAAAATTGAATTTCAAAGTAAATTAAGAATTGGGAATTTTCAAAAATTGAATTTCAAAGCAAATCAAGAGTTAGGAATTTTCAAAAATTGAATTTTGAAACCAATCAAAATCTAGGAAAATTGAAACAATTGAATTTCGAAGCCAATCAAAAGCCGAAAAAATTTGAAAAATTGAATTTTAAAGCCAATCAAGACCAGGGAATATTCAAACATTGAATTTTAAAACGTCAAATTAAACCAATCAAAAGCCGGGAATATTTAAAAGCTGAATTTTAATGCAAATCAAGAGGGGAATTTCCAAAAATTGAATTTGGAAACCAATCAAAATCTGGGAAAATTGAAACAATTGAATTTTGAAGTCAATCAAAAGCCGGGAAAATTGAAAAAAAAATAATTTTTTAGCGAATCAAGAACCGGGAATATCCAAACATTAAATTTTAAAATGTCAAATTATAAATCATTCAAAAGCCGGAAATTTTTGAAAATTGAATTTCAAAGTAAATTAAAAGCCGAGAAAAATTTAATTTGAAATCCAATCAAAATTCGGGAAAATTGAAAAAATTAAATTTTAAAGCCAATCAAAAGCCGAAAAAATTCAAAAAATTGAATTTCAAAGCCAATCAAGAACCGGGAATATTCAAACATTGAATTTCAAAACGTCATATTAAGTCAATCAAGAGTCGAGAATATTTAAAAATTGAATTTCAAAGTAAATTAAGAATAGGGAATTTTCAAAAATTGAATTTTGAAACCAATCAAAATCTAGGAAAATTGAAACAATTGAATTTCGAAGCCAATCAAAAGCCGAAAAATTGAATTTTAAAGCCAATCAAGACCAGGGAATATTCAAACATTGAATTTTAAAACGTCAAATTAAACCAATCAAAAGCCGGGAATATTTAAAAGCTGAATTTTAATGCAAATCAAGAGGGGAATTTCCAAAAATTGAATTTGGAAACCAATCAAAATCTGGGAAAATTGAAACAATTGAATTTTGATGTCAATCAAAAGCCGGGAAAATTGAAAAAAAAATAATTTTTTAGCGAATCAAGAACCGGGAATATCCAAACATTAAATTTTAAAATTTCAAATTATAAATCATTCAAAAGCCGGAAATTTTTGAAAATTGAATTTCAAAGTAAATTAAAAGCCGAGAAAAATTTAATTTGACATCCAATCAAAAGCCGGGAAAATTGAAAAAATTTAATTAGAAAGTCAATCAAGAACCAGGAATAGTGAAACATTGAATTTTAAAATGTCAAATCAAGCCAATTGAGAGCCGGGAATATTTGAAAATTGAATTTTAAAGCAAAGCAAGAAATCATAAATTAATTTGTGACAGTCGACAGATAAACAACTGTCAAGGCTTGAGAATGTTAACATTTGACATAACAAACTCGATGCACCACAAACAAATGTGGCAACAGTGTTCCAATGTTTGAAGTCTCAAGTTTCCGTTGCCAAATTGCAATTTTTGTCCCTGAATTTCAATTCAATAGGTATTTGTTATGGATAAGAGTTAAGGAAAAAATGTCAATATGTATTTCCATTAATATTTGAACAAATTAAATATAAATTTTTTAACAGAAGTTTGATTAATTTTTTCTAAACATAAAATAAAATACCTTTAAGCCCGCATTATATCTGTGTATTTTTTTGTGTATTTCTACATGTACCTGTTTATATATATAAAAAAAAATACACGAATGTAAAGCGAAAATATTAACCGTGTATTTGACACTTTTGACAGAAGAATTCATGAATTTATACATGCATAAATACACGTAGAAATACGGAAAAATACACACATGTAATGCGGGCTTTAAAGTGACTTGAACTTGAAGTGCAATAATAATTTATAATCAGATATCTTTAATTCTTGAGTAAACATAGTCACTTAATAGTAGGACACAATTTTACACTGTTTTAGTTATGACGCCATCTATGTATTAAAAAGCTAAGCTTATTAAAATAAGTTGATTTACACCATCATAATATTTGTACCTTATTGCAAAATTGTTATAAAAAAAATCTAAGACAACTTATTATAAGAGGCGATGTAATGTATTTTTCCATAAAATATATTAACAATTCAAATAAAATTTTATATATAAATTACACTCATCATTTTTATCAACAAGTAAAATCTATAATTAACCACTACAATAAAATTTTAAGAATAAATACCTAAACAATCACTTACCCAACAAACTGTGACAAAAATTCTAATTCATCATTTTATTCAGTAAAGTAAACTCCTATCGAAAAAATATATGGATTTGTGTGCTGAAATTCCAGATTCAGCTGCTACGACGTCAGCAATAGAACTGATACAACTATTTGCTGGAAGAGAGACTATAGACGGCGACATGCGATGCTGAAATGCCACCCCCGCCGCTCCATTCATTTTTTACTTTTTGTCATTGGGCCAGTTTTTTTTTGCAAAAAAGTTTGATTTTTTTTGAAAACAAATTAATTTATATTATAATATAATGAAAAGTTCTAATATACTTGTATGTTTAGCTTATACACACGCAATTCCATCGTTGAGTAAAAAAAAAAGAAAAGTCCCCAAAGGAAGTTCAAAAGGTCTAAATATAGGAATTTATATTTGCCCGTGTGCTAAATATAAACATACGAAATGATCGATTCGTAATATTTCGAGAGACGTCATAATATATCGTCATGACGACATAATATCTTTTCGCAAATCGTTTCGGATTATTATTAAACACGACATGAAAACCGTTTAAAATCGTAGTAGACGATTTGTGGTTTTGTCTTGCAAAGTAATTAGCTTTTCGAGTTCATCATTTACTGCGGTTTAGTTTATATTTAGATTATTTTTTTTTTAAATTTTGCTGATGGTTGTTCTTCGTTCCAGTTTTTCCAGATCGTATCTAAACTTTTTTCCAGCTTGTTCCTCGTTTTAACCCAATCAGGTGCAATCTCGTTGATAGTCAGTAAGCATTGAGCTGCTCAGGCAACACCTCACTATTCCGCTAAAATTTGATTTTTTTGCTAGGGATTTTTAGTAATAGATAAATGACGCGATTGAAACATTAGGCTCTCAGAAGTCAAATTTCGCGCGCCTGCACTTGATTGGCTGACAATAAAATTGGGGAGGGGCTTAGAGGTGGAGTAGTGGGGGCTAACTAGGGGGTGTAGAAGGGGTAATTACCCCCCTCCAGACAAAGAATTTTTTTATACATTTATTAATTACAATAAAATTTCAACAAAAGACAAGTTCTACAAAGTAAAGGATTGAATGCATCGTATGAATATGATAGGCTCACCAGTACCGACGTACCATCGTCACCAAAAGTATCTGGGACACAAATAATGCATAATAATCTCCTGGACTAATTCTACTGTCATTCATTTCAATGCATTTAATTCATAGTTTGACAAATATTTGACAATAAAATTTATATAATAGGACAAGAGCTAATGTGATTCTGTCAGTTAAAGTTATGTTACATTTACGATGTAATACATCAATAAGTAGATGGCAGAAAATCTCGGTTGGTATAATAATATTTAACAATCTTTGAAGTTGCATCAAAATGCTGAGATGTTGAAACAATTTTCTCCCGCCTAAAACATGTTTTGTTACAATGGATTTTAGATAAATAATGTACCTTTACACCGGCAGAAAAATTGAAGTGGTGTACAGATATTTATTTTTAATTTTTCAAAATATCAAAATTTCTCAAATTTGAGATCAATTATTTTCCATCTGCCATTAATTTATATTAAATAAGTTGCTACCAAAAGCTTAAGTTTTGACTGGCAGAAATTGCAGACTGGTACAAGTCCTAATAAACAATGAACAAAATTGCGACAAAAATTGTTTTTCTACAAACGTGTTAAAAATGCAAGGGGTGAGTACCTTTTTGAATATTTGAACTCTAATAACGTAGACATTATCAACAAAGGTAACAAACCCACTTTTATTAACGCCGTCAGACAAGAGGTCTTAGACGTGACTCTCTCTGACATATTTACATCTAACACAATAACCAACTGGCTTGTGTCAAATGAACCCTCCCTGTCGGACCATCAAGCAATAAGGTTCGACCTAGAGGCAGTTATAAACCACTCAGTACAGACAAGAATCCCAAAACTCACCAACTGGGTATTCTTTGTGGAGGGTCTGTGCCTGAGTCTAGATGAACTCCCTTTTGACATAACTACAATAGAAGAGCTAGAGGCATCATCTGACAATCTAACAAATGCGATAAAAGATTCCTATGAGAACAGTTGTCCCGTAAAACAGAAGGCAGTCCACAGGGATGTGCCTTGGTGGAACGGGCAGTTGAGACGTCTGAAACAAGATGCCAGAAAACTGTTCAACAAGGCAAAAACTAACGGCAACTGGGCAGACTATAGAACAGCCCTAGACAAGTACAACCGTGAATTAAGAAAATCAAAAAGGAAATCATGGAGACAATTCTGCGAGGGGATTGACGAATTAGCCCCAGCTCAACGTCTCCAAAAAGTTCTTTCAAAAAACCACTCAAACGGAATTGGTCTGCTTAAAAAGCCAAACGGAGAACACTGTACCGACCATACAGAAAGTCTAGAGGTACTACTACAAACTTACTTTCCAGGTTCGGTAATCGTTGAAGCCCTGAACCAGGTCACTCCGCCTATCGAAGGGCCACAAAGCCCTAACGGCAGGAGCAAAAGGCTGGCTGGGAAAATCTTCACAATGAACAGAATAAAATGGGCGGGATTTTTCTCGCACAACTGCAAAAAGGCTACGAGCACTTAAAAGTACACCTACAAAAGCTCTTTAAGGCAAGCCTGCTCCTAGGGCACATACCGCTATCTTGGAGGGAAGCTAATGTGATATTCATACCAAAAACGGGTCGCCGACCCGAGGACGAACCAAAATCATATCGTCCCATTAGTCTAACCTCCTTTCTCCTTAAGACAATGGAGAAAGCAATCGACCAGTACATCAGAAGCGAAACTCTATTGAGAAGACCGCTCTACTCGAAGCAATTTGCCTATCAGCCAGGCAAATCCACGATAAGTGCTTTACACTGCCTGGTTAAAGACATTGAAAAGACAATCGAGTGCAAAGAGAGCGCTCTCACAGCTTTCATCGACATAGAGGGTGCCTTTGACAACACCTCACATCAATCAATCGCCAGAGCATTATAAGAATGGGATGTTGAAGTTCCAATTGTAAAATTGATAGAGTCGATGCTGAAGCACCGTCACGTTACGGCTGAAATAAACGGAGCATCAGCTACCGCTACCACGGTCAGAGGGTGTCCTCAAGGGGGTGTTCTTTCTCCGCTACTATGGACACTGGTGGTAGACAAAATTCTTACCAGACTGAGTAGTGCTGGATACCAGGTCATAGGTTACGCAGATGACCTAGCCAACGTAATCAAGGGCTAACATGAAGGTATAGTGACAAGCCGAATGCAAAGTGCCCTAAACATCGTTAAAAATTGGAGCGAAGGCGAAGGACTATCCCTAAACGCAAACCAAATAATCCTTGTCCCGTTCACAAGAAAAAGGAAGCTAAATTTGAAAGCCCCGACCCTTAACGGTACACAACTAACATTTTCCAACGAAGTGAAGTACTTAGGAGTCACCCTGGACCAAACCCTCACTTGGAACAAACAGTTAGAGAAAACATGCTCTCAAGCCACATCAGCCATTTGGTCATGCCGAAGACTTGTTGGCAAAACATGGGGGCTAAAGCCAAAGATGGTATTCTGGATCTACCAAACCATAATAAAGCCTATGGTCACATACGCCTCATTGGTGTGGTGGCCCAAAACCCAACAAGTCACCGCTCAGATTAAGCTAAGAAAGGTGCAAAGGCTGATATGTCTAGGAATAACGGGAGCAATGTCAACTTGCCCCACCGCAGCCCTAGAGACGCTACTCAACATGCCTCCACTTCACCTATGTGTGAAAAAGGAGGCAATAACCAGCGCTCACAGGTTATTCCAAATAGACAAGTTCAAGCCTGGCGATCTGAGGGGACATCTGAAAATCGTTGATCTAATAACACTGGAGAATGCCAGCAAACCAAGTGACCACATGATGATCAGATTGGACTTAGAGATCCCCTTCGCAGTGGTAATAAACGACCGCCAATCATGGGAGAATAAAGAACTACCATAAGCAGACAATGCATGTCTGTGGTACACAGATGGATCCAAGCTAATGGTAGGAGCTGGACTGGGCCCTAACTTCAAGCTCTCCAAGGCATTGGGTAAACATCTTACAATATTTCAAGCCGAACTGCTTGCCATAGATATATGTGCACAAGAGTGTCTTAACCAAAGCCTCAAAAGAAAACACATCTTCATACTATCGGACAGCCAAGCTGCCTTAAAAGCCTTAAGGGCTTTCAAATGCACGTCAAAACTAGTCTGGGAGTGTAAACAGACCCTAAAAACACTAGTGACACATAACCAGGTAACGCTGATGTGGCTGCCTGGTCATCGAGGCATAGAAGGAAACGAAGAGGCAGATGGCCTCGCAAAGGAAGGGGCCTCAACACCATACCATGGACCAGAGCCCTACTGTGGCTTAATGAAAAGCCACATCATGGAAGAACTCAACAAATGGGAGAAAGACCAACTGTCATCATATTGGAGGCACACACCGGGACTCAGACAGTCAAAAAGGTTTATTACCCTTTCAGCAAAAAGAGCTGAACAGCTCCTAAGCATGAGCAGACCAGACATCAGATTGGTGGTGGGACTGCTCACAGGACACTGCCCAGTAAAATACCATTTAAGGTTAATGGACAGAGCAGAAGACGATCTCTGCAGATTCTGCTCAGACGCAATAGAAACCGCAGAGCACCTGCTCTGCGAATGTCCAGCCCAATTCTGCAAGAGGCTCAAATTCCTCGAGGGGGCAACACTGTCACCAGAAGAAGTGGGCCAACTGACACCCAGGAAAATAGCTTCCTTCGGCAGAAGTCTACGCTTCCTGGAGACAAATTAAGATGTAGAGTCACGTACAAAATATCTGTAAAGGTAGCAGTGCTGAGCGGCTGAAAAGCCGAAACGACTCCCCCGAAATCTACAATCTACAATCTATACTCCTAAGAAAATAAATATCTATTATATGATGAGCGTTTTTAACCCGTCTGCCATTTGGTTAAGTGAAATGTAGTTATGAGAATATGCATATTTTCAATATGGTAGAAACCGCAATAAGTTACATAAGTTGCACATATGATTGTTAAACTGCAATTTTCTCCCGTCTGCTAACTTAATTGAATAGAGTTACTATCAAACTGAATACCTATCAAAAGGCAAAATGACTGCTTATGTACAGGGTGTTTCAAATTCGAGCCACATCATTGGGATCTCGGAAACGGTAAGTTATAAGTTGCAAAGTTACGTAATTTGATGCTTAACAAAATGCC